CAGGGACGCTTTATTCTTTGAGAAAATCTATCCAATGATGCCCATTATCCACCGCCCGCGTTACTATGCAGCCCTGAATCTTGCCCCTAATATGCGCCCACCGATCTGCTTGCGATACATTATGTGGTGCAATGCCGCATCCGTCAGCGACAAATACTTCTTCCTACATAGTCATTTCTACCAGCGGGCACGCAAATATGCCGAGGCGGACGAAATGAAAGGATTCGGAGAGAACATCGTCAGTTTAGCACATTGCCAAACATGGATATTTATCGGCACATATGAATTCCGAATGATCTTCTTCCCACGAGCCTGGCTGAGCGTTGGTAAAGCCGCAAGACTAGCACTGATGCTGGGATTGAATCGTCTTGATGGTGTTGGTCTCGACGTCAAACAATCCATTTTACCACCAAAAGATTGGACAGAGCGCGAAGAACGTAGGAGAGTCTTCTGGGGCGCATTTGCCACGGATCGATATTCGAGCGTTGGAACTGGCTGGCCCATTCTTATTGATGAGAACGATGTTAGTATATCGTGAACCCTCTTATGGCGCAGAGCTGATATGCTGACGACAATCAGATTATGACAAACCTCCCCGCATCCGAAGACTCTTTTACCAAGAGCAAGCCACAACGAACACTTCCTCTGAACGATATCATCGCCGGAGAGGGTGTATCTACACTAGCCCCTTTTGCATGCGTGGTGGTTTTGGCAAGTCTTTTCGGTCGTAATCTCATACACATCCATCGGCCTCAGCCCCAAGACAACGATCATGACCTCAATGGAGATTTTTGGAAGCGCCACAGAAGCCATGATAATATTCTTTTGCACATTTCGCTCTCGTTGCCTGATCATCTTCGACTCCCAAGTGGCGTCTCGGACGTGAACGTCATTTTCGCCAACATGAGCATTCATACTTCAACTATATGTCTTCACCAAGCGGCAATATTCAAGGCCGAAAAGAACAAGATGCCGAATCAGATTACGACCGAGAGCAAGCGCAGGTGCCTTGTCGCCGCAAACCAGATTTCGAGTACCATGAAGATGATCAGCCACGTTGATCTGACGAGCGTGAGTTTCTATTGAGCTTTCTTACTCAAAAAGCATTTGCACTAACACCTTGCAGCTAAATCCTTTCATGTCATTTTGTCTCTATATTGCCGCTCGTGTTTTTGTGCAGTATCTTAAATCCCGACCAGATGACTCGAGTGTTTATTCCTCGTTACAATTTCTCGTCTCCGCTCTGAACGCGATGAAGAACAAAAACCCTCTGACCGAGTCCTTTCTTGTTCAATTGGATGTTGACCTTGATGGAACTGGCATTCGTGCTTTGGACGATAGACAGAGAACCAACATGTCTGCTGCACATTCCATGGTAGTAGGTTTCCCGGGCTTGTTTCCAAATGGCCAATCGAAGCTAATCCAATCTTCTCTAGCAATCATACTGCAACGATAAGGTCGAATGTACTCCCATATACAACCTCCGCCAAACACAAGGGATCGCGAAGGAGGTGTCTCCACAATACAGTACCAATCGCGGCGGCAATCAGCCTATGCCTGCCGGTTTGACGACGTCGCTCCCAAGCCGGAACAGGGACTCAACGACACAGCCCACCGCAGGACTAGTATTTAATGGCGATGACACGAGTCACTTTTTCGGAACCTCCACTCAGGCGACGGACCAAGCCGGACCACCAGGGGCCATTATCGATACAGACATGGATTTCCGATCTGATTTCGGCAACCTCAGCGACAGAAACAACCCACCATCAGACCATCCCACCCCCTCAACCTTGAATTCATCTTCCAACACTTCCTATTCAATCAATGGCGCTGACGACCCACCGCCCGGAAACAAGAATCGAAAGACAAACTCGGGATATCCGAGTCAGGAGTCAGCCCAGTCCTTTGATAAGGTCAATTCAGACATCATGCCACAGGGAAACACAAACCCGCAAGTCACCGATTTGGATTCCATGGCTGGTCGGTTTTATCCAGACAGCTCTAATAGCCCGTCGGTTGCAGGAGCGTCGGGGATCTTCTCCATGCCCTCTGCATGGGACCTTCCACCCTCAAATCCAGAAACGGGCAATGAAGGCTTTGGCAACCTAAACATGGAGACTTTCAGTGAATCTCAATGGGCTCAAATCTTGAATGGTCAAATCCAGGGTGAAAGTCCGACCAACGCTGGCTGGGAGAACTGGCGGCCATCATGAGCGCAGCGCATGTTGGAATATGGTTCAATAGTCTCCAGTGTCATAACTCATCTCGCTTGAGATTGTTGCAACAAGTGAAATCTCTCGTGTTGCCGCTGAACGGACGACATTGAGTCCCTCAATCTGCTCAAAATATGAGATCCTAGCCTCTCACTAATTAGGACGACCCATCGACGCCTTTATCAATCCTCTCACATGCGACTCGAAGCAGGTCGTCATCCTATTGGGTACTTCTCTTTTGCTTGTTTTCTCTCCCTCGCCCTAGTTCCACAAATATTGGGGTCACTTATCACGATATCTTGGACCGAGTATCTTCTTTTCTGATTTACCTACGGAACTGCGAACCCCTTTGCAATTCTCTTCTTCCCACAATGTTCGAGTGAAGTGGCAGCCTGATAAGCTTCCATTGAGCTCTGCTTTTGAATGATTTGATGACGAACGAATGAACGGTCTTTTTGGGGCGGAACTCTTCACTCTTGGATAGCTTATACGGTTGGTAATTGGAGTATTTCGGCCTGTCAATTCATGTTAATAGCCAATCACTACAAGCACTACAATCAATAAATCTATTGATCTTACTTAGCACTCGTCCGTTTTTTTCTTTCTCAATACGTCCATTCATGATAGTTTGATAGGGTAGGGCTAAAAAAAGGCCTGCCCCAGAAGAGGAAGCAAAATATAAGGCTCGAGATTACAAGCCACCACCAGCAGCACCGACAATCTTCAAGCCTCCAGCGCTGGAGCTACCAGGTCCATCAGTGGTAGTCGAGTAAGCTAGCCAGTAGCGAGATGGATGCCACGCAACAGCAGAGACACCGGCATTGATGCCGGCAGTAGGAATTGTGTAAATACTATCTCCAGACTCCGCATGGAAGATCTCCAGTCCATTCCCACCACATCCAAGCTCGTCGCATGCGCCTACAATGTAGCGGCCATCGAAGCTCCAGCTCACGCCACGAATAGCACCACCATTCTCGCTGGACAAAGTGCGACGACAGATCCAGTCGGTTGTATCCCAGAGGGAGATGAGAGCGTCGCTCCCACCGACTGCGAGGTATCGGCCTGTCGGCGCGAGCGCAAGTGAAAGGCAGGCCGAGGTGTGGGCGTTGAGAGTGTGCATGATATCGAAGGAAGGGTAGGACATGATTTTGACCTTGCCTTCGCCAGTCGTCACGAATATTTGTTGCCCCGGACGTTCGGGTGTCGGCATACACCAGGAGAAGGTTGTCGCATTTGTTTGTACGGTTTGAGGGTGAGGGTCGAGAGCTGTGTATGTGGTTGCGCCGGGTGTAGAGGAGGGGAGGTTGAGAGCATTTGCGCCTTCGGGATGAGTGGTAGGAGAGGAGGGGAATTGAACGGAGACGGGGATTAAGGTGTCGTCCTGTTTACATATCATATGTTAGTGACTGTGTCATAAGAGAGATCAAGTCTGCGGAGTCGCAGCGCAGCATGATTACCTTCTTGCCGACGATCATTGTGCTGCCATCAGCAGACCAGGAGAGTGTAAATGCTTCGCCGCCGACATCTAGACGGCTCACACATGTCTTGGAGCGCACATCCCAGAAGCGCACCGTACCATCGGCCGAGCAACTGGCCAGCTCCGCGTCGCGGACTGGGTTGAAAAGAGCCTTCTCAATACCAGCTGTGTGACCACGCAATTCGGTGGAGTATCGTACATTAGGACGTTCAGGGTTCCAGATTCGTAGCGTGCGATCTGCTGAGCCAGTGGCAATCAGCTGGCCCGTGGGGTTCCAAGCAAGAGTGCGGATCCTGTGGTTCCAGACCGTTGTCAGCATATAAACGACAGCCCCGGGCGCAAGAACCACACTCACGTGTGAGAGCCTGGTCCTTTGGAAACAGGATCTAAGTAGTTTTGAGTCTTCACGCTTCCAAACACGAATGCAAAGTGATCCTTGTGTAGGAGCTCGCGACGCGAAGCGGGCGCCATCTCTTCGTCTTCCTCCTCTAGCAATTGGCGCAAGACTGGATGTCCACCTGCATTCGAACCAGCGGCAGAAGCAGTAGCAGAAGTAGGAGCGATAGGACCTAGCGGTTTAGACTGAATGCTATTCAAACGATAGACGGACCGAATTGGAGAGTACTGGGATACCGCCTTTGGGTAGCCCGATACTGCCGGGGAATCGTTATCGGGTGCTAGGGGGCAGTTCATCCAACCTGTGTGCCATTTTTTTCACTCAATCCCCTATCGACTCGTAGAGAAAAAGCGTCCCCGACGGGCAAACTTTCACACACTTTGGGCTTGGTGAATAGCTGATCATGGTACACCACTGGAAGAAAACGACATTCTGCTACGTCGAAATCGCTTGGACCCAATCCATGGATATACGGCCCCAAGTGACAGGGTTTCCTGCCTAAATTATGCATGTTCAAATTGTACGTGCCCGTTTTCTTTTAGACGGGGGCCAGGCAACGATTAGGCTTACCGGCATGCCTAGTTAGTACAACGCAACCAAGTCAACTAGACAGGATTGGTCAAAAATGCCTGTCCGGCCCTTTAGAATACTCCCTAGCGCTTGCCAAGCTCATATATGTGATGTGATAGTGGCCAAGGCCCTTGTCATTGATGCCCAGGCGAACCCCGACGTCCCGTGATATCTGCACCAGTCAAATACTTAATCACTGCCGCTTCACTGTCCTTCCATCCTACATTTCTTTCACTAAGAAATAAACTCAGAAGCTAACTTCTCCCCTACGTTATCTTCACATATTGTATGGGAAACTCCTCGTTCAACCCAAATCATCCATTAATGATTTCTAGTCAAGATGGAAGAGATCGAAAAGTTCGACCTTAGCAAGGCTCTTCCCGCTATCCCGCGCCCCTATGAGGTCTCAGGAGAAGAACGCATCAAGAAACTTGAGGGATACCTCAAGGACGAGAGAATCAAGTCGCAACGGTCCAATATTCAATTTGTGATCAATATGTATAAAACTGGGAAGCTAAAGTCTCTCCTTGGACCACCCAATGGGAGATCTATATATGTGTGCGACGGTCAGGTCTATCATTCCTTACCCGATCTCGAGGAAATCATGGATCGCCCAGTGTGGTTTGAGGTAAGGTCTTCTTTTGGAACAATTAGCTTTGTCCCTGACTCCTGAGATTTTTAGGGAGTGAGCCGGCAGATGATACAGCAAACCCTCGAGCATGACAAGGTATACTTCCCTATCCCCGAAAAAGTCTTTCGAAAAAGATTTAACGACCAATCTCGTTCTAGAAAGAACGACAACAGATGAAACTCTGGAGTTCTTACGTACAAATAGAACCTGGCGCAATGCATAAGGTATGTTTTTCTCTCAGGCCAATCCTTCCGAAACTGACCGCGGGACGCGTTCAACCAGTTCTACGCACGACTCAGACTGTCACCCTCCATCGCAGACCGTGATTCTAAGAACCTCCCATATATCATTGTGCAACTTTCCAATGATACCGGAAGCAACATACAGACCATTTTCACTTCAGATTTGGCACAACTCAATTATAATGCCGGCACATATCATGCCACGCAGGGATATGATGACATTATGACCGCTGCGGGGGTGGTGGTACGTCCCAGCATTCTTATCCAGCTTATGATCCTCGATAGCGATGGGTATAAAATGACCGACTGGTTTGCTGAGCGGGCGACCGTTGTCGATGATTCGACCGGTCCTTTCGGTTTGGAGCGGCTTTCGGGGACAGAGATCAGAAAACAGCTTTATATGTTCGGTTAATACCAAAGTTGGTATTGGTGAGGTTTAAAAAACAAATTACAGAAGTTGGGTGAACTGCTCCCTATGTCTTGGCTTTTGCGGGCATACCACTAGGAAACATGCCATAAACAATATGATTTCTTAGGTTACAATTAGTGAATTATGATTGTTTTTGAATTAATTACATATTCTGTTTCTTTCTAGAGCCGTACGTTGTATGTTATTGGTATTGTTTAGATGCATTATCCATTCTAATTGACGTGTATGTTGTTTGCTCTATATGAATACATGCATACATGTACACAATGACCACATAATAAGAGCCATTGGAGTAAACTTCAATTCAGAAGTACTCAGACTGAGCTCTACCTAATTTCAGATTGCCCTTACAAGTGACATAAGAGCAAAGCTACATTGAGCCATTATACTCGTTACGAAATTGAGACTACTGATATTTATTGATAACCTTGATCTTGAATTCATACATGCCATTCAAGGCCAATACATCTGGTTTCTGTATAATATTCCTACAATGGCTACCAGAAGTTGATAGAATACCCCAAATTCCATTTGAATGTGGAAGGTTTGATAGCTGCAGCCTTATGGGTCCGATAAGCCCGAGCTTAATCGAACCTCACCCTTCGGCTGGAAATTTGATTCTTCAAAACTCGAGAGCTTCGATTGTCAACGTTGAGCATCACTTCGAAGATTATCAGAGACAACATGTTTCAAGAAGTAGACGAATCGTCTCGTCGCGAAAAGTGCTTCACAACCATCACTCAGCTGCCGACGTTCATCAACCCAAAGCAGGTCCCAAGCAAGAGATCGCCCTTTTCAACGATTCAAAATCATGCATTTGTACACTCAGTAGGTGGTCTATGGCTTTCTTGAGAGATGAAAGGTCATTTGACTGATCACTGGTCATAGGTCGAGGTTATCCTGCCAAAGGAGTTCTACTCACAGATCAAGCCGTCGCTCGAGACTAAACTAGAAAAACCTCGATATGCACGAGTCTTCATGACTCCTTCGGCTCTGCTTGAGCATGACTTCTTCAACACATACATCAAGTCAGGTATTTATGTCTCCGCCAGACCAGTATAAAGGCTCTTCACATTTGAGTGGCCATCATTTGCACAAGCACCAGACAGCTTTTGTGCCCAGAGAGACCATTTTATCAAAGACGGCACTCTGACTTGGCACATAGGGAATATTTTGATGATCTCCGAAGGACGCTCGGGATCCGATAATGTCTTCACACTCAAAGACGGTTCGTTTCCCCGAAGCTGCGGCTGGAAGAGTCTCCGTTGCGGGACCGAAAGTTGACTCGAATGGAAATAGGCGTACTTCGAATCGAACTAGGAAAGGAGATATATGAGCGAACAGGTCTCACTGGCAAGCCTTTCCGCAGCGGCGGCAGAAAACATGCAAAAGAAAGATTCTGTATGTACAATCAGAGCAAATGGGCTGGTTGAATATTTACTAATAATGTCGTCAGTGGTAGAATTGAACTTACGGCTGCCCTCGATGCTGCATGGCAAGAAGGGCTTCGAAAGAATTGTATGGGCATTCACCAATGTTCTGACTCAATCACTGGCCTGGCTCTTCCACGACCTGGAAAGCAACCCTGGTCCGGGTGAAGGTGATCATGCCTCCGAACCCAAAAAAGGAAATAGTAGCAAGAATATACTAAAAGTCGGAGCAGGAAACAAGCCGATCGACAAGGTTCAACCACAGTTGATAACCTGCGAGCCACAGGAAATTGCTCACGAGCAAATAATCACTCCGCCGTTTTACGAAAACGGGAAAGTACTCGAGAATATGTCGGAAGATGATCTGCAGGAATATTGTGGCTCCCTATCCGAATGGATTGCCATGGTTCAGATGGCTTCTCCGCGGTTGTCTGGGGAAGATGACGTCGATCCGTACCTTAGTCGGTATGCGGCTCCAGACGCAGAGGAAGGCCAGGCCTCTGATTTGATGAGCTTAAAATGGCATGGTTTGATATCGTCCCGTTGGACTATGCAGCTGTTCCTCAATATGTTGTGAGTCACGAATATCATTTACAAAAAAAAGCTGGTTAAGAGCTAACATTGTCTAATGGAAAGGCAAAACACCAAGGCCAGCTGGTTTGCACTTGCCGTCGCTACTTTAGGTAAAGAAGCCGTGGAAGGAAGGGACGGATTCATGGTTATAGTCCTTCCTAGTGGACAGTCTAGTGCACAGTCTAGTGAATCTAGCCAGACGTCTCAGGTGAAGGACGAAGGAACCGTGGGAACTGGCCGGGTTACTTTCTGTTGGGAGTTGATGGGAGCATCAGTGACCGAGCCCTGACCTAACCCTTGCCCTTTGCAAACACTTGAACTTCCCCATGGGGCATAGGGCTCCAACCACCTATTATCTTGCCCTGAAGAGAGCACATGAGCACATCGCTACATCGCTACACTCCCACGATCCTCTTCTCCCATACCCCCTCTTTTTTTCTTCTTTCCTCTCCCTCCTTCCCATTTCCCATGCTCATTGCATTTTCATTCTCATCCCACCACCATTCATTCACTACAAGATACAATTAGCTGTTTCATAGCCTGTGCTCTTCGAGTCTTCCACTCGCTCAGCAATCAACACACTTCATCCGTCTTTTGTGTGTTTCTGCACCTTCTTTGACTCGACAGCTCTATCACCTGTACTCTCATTCACATTCACATTCACATTTTATTCTATCATTCGTTATGGAGCCTATTATGGATCCTACCCAATCATTTTTCGACGCATTTGTCGATGTGCCTGGCGATCAAGACTCGCAAAAGCCCAATTCGAGCCCCGTCAGTGTGCCTTCTAATGAAGGCCGTATCCTGGGCCTCGACGAATGGAAAATTCCCGAGAAAGGTTTCCCCAATGACCTCTGGGAACTCGCTCGTGTTAATGGTACGTACATCTCCTGATTTACGACTGTCGAACTGAACTGACTTGTGTTCCTAGGATATCACTTCGAGGGAGAGGACAACACGTCCGGCTCGACTTTCGAAGATGCCTTTGTCCCACTCGGTGAGGACCCTGTCCTTGGCCCAGCGACTCTGGATCACCTGGAGCTTCGCGGTGGCTTGTGTAATCCCATCGTCGTTGATGATGATGTGCCCAAACTGAGCACTTCCGCCAAACTGAGCACTTCCACCAAGCAGCCTAGCACAGTCTATCCGCTGGATACCCTCTTGTCTCTCGAAAACGCCGACCTGGGTCCTCCCCTTGCATTCGTCCGACCTGCTCGCGCCACTGATGCTCCAGTCACTCAACATACTCAAGCCATCATTGATCCGGCTGTTAAAGTTGCTCCTGTCACCGCTGCTCCTGTCACCGCTGCTCCTGTCACCGCTGCTCCTGTCACCGCTGCTCCTGTCACCGCTGCTCCTGTCACTGCTGCTCCCGTTACTGCTGCTCCTATCACTGCTGCCCATGTCGCTCGAGTCGCTGCAGTCACTCAATTCGCTGCTAAATTCACCCAGCGCGCTTCGGTCATCAGTGATCCCGCTGTTCAAGTCACTCCTGCCACTGATGCCCCGGTTATCCAAGCGACCCATTCAGTCAGCGACATCGCCAATATTGCTCCAGCTCCTCCTGCCACCCCCAGCTCAGCAACTGAAACGGTCAAGGTCTTTGATTGGTCACAAGGCAAATCGGGCCCTCATCCTAAGCAGTCACCCAATAAGGCAGCCAAGCGGGTCCCTAAGAGGAAGCAAGATGACGAGCTACACAAGAAACAGAAGAAGACAAAAGTGCAAAGCACCCCACGCAAGGCGAAGGGAAAAACATTCTTAGCCTCAGTCACGCCATCTCAGCAGATTGCGCCTGCCCCGATGACACCAATGACTCAGTTCTCTGCCCCGATGACCCCTGTCCCTACCTTGATGACGCCAGTGGCAGCAGCCCATCCCAGTCAACAGAACCAGCTTGAAATCCAAGAGCGTCTTCAAAATGAAGAGAAATATCTTCGTGTTGAATGGGATCAACTTCAGCAACAGCAAGCTCACCTCGAACGTCAGCTGCCCGGGGATCAACAGCAGCTCCTGATCTACCAACAGCAGCGTCGGCTCCACCAACAGCAGTTTCAGCTGTGTCTGGACAAGGTCATGAAGCACAAAGTGCAAGTCCGTGAATACCGGTCTCAGCGACAGCATCAAATGCAGCAGACCCAGCCATTCCCAACCGCAGCGGGTCAACAGGTTCAGCAGGCCACCCCCCAAATGCAAGGAATTTATCATACCCCTCCCAATACCAATGAGCGCATGCAGTCTGCGATGCAGCAGACCCAGCAATACCAAGCTACAGCAACTCAGCAGGTTCAGCCCACCCATCAAATGCAGGGAGTTTATCCCACCCCTCCCAATGAGCGCATGCGATCTTTGATGCAACAGACCCAACAACGCCAAGCTACAGTGGCCCAGCAGGTCCAGCAGCCCGCCTACCAAATGCAAGCAGTCCATCACACCCCTTCCAAGGAGCGCATGGCGTCTGTGATCCGACTATCCCAGAAACTTCAAGATTCAGTGGCTCAGCAGCAGCAGCCCACCTTGTACCAAACTCCTTCTAAGGCGCGCGTGCAGTCTGCGATGCGGCAAACCCAGCAACTCCATGCCTCAGCGGCCCAGCAGGTTCGGCGGCCCACCCAACAAATGCAGGGACCTTATTACACCCCTACCCAGGAGCACATGCAGTCTGTTTCTTCCCTTTCTGCCGCTTCGCCTAAGAAGAGAACATTCGAGTTTGCGGAGAACATCGTGCCTACCAACTTTGTGGCCAACCCAAACAACCATGCCCGATGGACTGTTAGCCCCAATGGCGACCGTACCTACCTGAATGGACCCCAGGCGAAGAAGGCACGAGTTTCTACTGAGTAGAATTGCGCGGAGATGGTGCTCTTCTAGCACATGCGTGAACGTTTGCGAGCGATTCAAGGAAAGAACGGAGGGTGTTGAGAAGGAGGTGTTTGCCCATGAGAAGGGCGGTGATCAAGGTGCCGCAGTAGGTACACATGGATTGTAGCCTACATGAATACGATTTTTTCATTTATCAATTCCATTGTAAATTCAATTAATTGAGAGGCTGAATGTCGAGCGTCTGCTGTTGCTTATTTGAAAACTACAGTGCTCACAATGGAACCACATTTGACAGCCAATAACCAACAGGCTGCAGTGCTTAGTGTATTTCCCAAGCCCCCAAAAACCACATGTAAGACGAATGGCTGTATCAGCGTGTCAAGTCGCGTGCGATGATAAAACGGAACGCCTCGATTTGCATTTGAAGAACAGAAACAAGGACCTTGTTTGAAACATTGTATGCTAGGTATGCTAGCCCGTCAGGTCATTCACTATGTCTCGTAGGATGGGCCGATTCCCAACCACCTTCGTGCCGTTGAACAACTTTGCACCCGTCTTGGCAGGCTTTTGTAGACCGGGCGCTGCTTGTCGGGAGCCCAATGGGCTCAGTGGTTCACGGGAAGAACGTGAAGGAGGCAATTTGTTCTTGCCATTACCTTTGCCCTTGGTAGAGCGAGGAGTCAAAGCCGCACCCGGAGACATGAGCTGCGATTGTGTGGTACAAGAGGGGAAGAAATGCTTGTCTATCGCTCCGCTGGGCAAGTTATAAACCCAGTCTTTGCTTTCCATCAGGCGCACATATTTGCAGAGGAGCTCGTTGCCATCACGGAGAGTGGATCTGCTGCCGACAACGAGGAGCTTGGTCTGGGCGCGGGTGAAGGCGACGTTGACACGGCGCCAGTCGCGCAGTAGCTCGCCGACGTTGTTTTCGGCGTTACTGCGGACGCAGCTCAGAACGATGACCGCTTTGTCGCGGCCTTGGAACTTGTCTGTGGTGTGCATTTCCAGATCTGGGCCGTAGCGTCGCAGGCTCTGGCGAATGAGCGAGAGTTGGCTGCGGTAGAAAGTGATCACACCAATGTCGCGCGCGGGAATACCACAGGCAATGAATGACTCCACAAGTTGCGAGCAAAGGAAGACCTCCATGTGATTCACGACACGATTTCCCTGTGCTATCTCGAGGGCTGCGGGGCCGATGGGATCGATGTTGACCAGGCGTGTCTTCGCAGATGGCGTCAGTAAGTCTCGGAGCCAACACGGGCTACTGGGGACACCCGGGCATATTGCTCGGGTTGACTGTGACAGAGCATGACTCAAGTCTTCGACATGGAATTTCTCTAGTGCGTTGATGTCGGGTATATCCAAAGATCGGGCTGCTACCTGCGGCGTGCCGCATTTGAGACGGCCCGAGTAAATCAGAGTGTTTGAAAGTAACATGATTTCCTCACACATGCGGTACTGATGCTCTAGGTTGACAACCGAACCTGGTTGTGCATCCGATAGTAGTTTGAAGAGACTGATATCAAGTCCTCCTTCCTGGGCCGCTTTATTCTGCACAAGCGGCGGCAATTGATAGTGATCACCCACCAGGATGAAAGTCCTTGCCATACGAATCGGGCCGAGGCAGACTGGGAGCGTGATCTGCGATGCTTCGTCGACAATACAATAGTCAAAGATGCGTTGGTTGAAAATGTTATGGTTGATTCCGAGACAAGTAGTGGCAACGACCTGCGGCTTTTCGTATGAATCCTTAAGTTCTTCAATGGTTGATTTTTGGACTGCGGCAAGATCGGCAAATTCCTGAACATCTGGATGAATTTTGGCGGTTGCACCTATACGCAGCACACGGATGTTGTCGTCTCGAATCTTCAGCAGAATGTTGTCAACGGCAGTGTGGGTGTAAGATGTAAGAAGAACACTCTTGCCTTGAGAAACAAGGGCCCTAATGATATGAGCAATGGTTGTGGTCTTTCCAGTCCCAGGCATTCCAAGGACAAGAGCATAGTCTTTGGCGCTCATCACTTTGTCAATGGCTTGTCTTTGATCAACGTTGAGATTGCCAGGATCGGGGATCGTATATGAAGATGACATCGTCTTGAAGGCAGGCGCCTGCCCCTGAACAATGAGCTGTCGAAGCTGCCTCGCTTGGAACAAGTCTTTATCCATCATACAGATGAGATTGTTTCGAACAATGGCCATGCCGTTGCTAAACTCATCTTTGTCGATCCGGTAAACGAGCTGCTCGTTTGGGTTTTGCAGGGCAGCAGGCTCTTCTTTCCCAACCTCCATGATTCCTCCGAAAGACTGGTTTGTGACTGCATCGAAGCCAACCGTCTTTGATCGTGCATTGTGAAGTTTCCGATCCACGCCAACCTTGATGTGCGACGAACTTGTATGCAGCACGTATCCATTGGCGAGAGCAAAATGGCCCTTCTCATCCGAAATGACAATTGGTTCACCGACAGATATTTGGGATTCAGCAAAGGAAAAACCAGGAGACGCTTGTCTTTTGACGAACGTATAATGGTAGCGATTGATCCTTGTCCCAGTATTCTCCTCATACGCAGAATGCGGGTCGATAACGACATCCCCGAAGCATCGACCCAGGGCTTCTCGCTCGCTGCTCAGCAATGTCCAAAGTTCTCGCCGGAACTTCACGAGATTACCTTCTTCTTTGGTCAGAAGTTCATCCCACTTGCGAAAGAAGTCCCGATCGCCGTTGTCCAGGTGACCAACAACTGCATCGAAATCCTCGCCAAGTGCACTGGTCTCGCCATCGCCATCCTCGGAGAGCTTGTGATAGATGAGACACGGAGTCTTGGCATAGCATCGAATACATTGACGAGCTTTTTTCAGCATCGGTGGAAGCTGCTGCCTTTCACGAATATAGCCAGCGAGGTGATTGCGCACCTGGATCATCTGGAGTAGTTCGTGTCGGACCGCACGGATACTGAGTGTTTTCGTTAACTCGAGGTAGTAGAGAAGCCCGAATGTAACATCGATATCTGCGACAATTTTTAGCAACTAGTCAACTAGTCGAAAGAGGATCGGAGGCCTCATTACTTACCATAGCGATCTGACAGGAGGAGAGTGTAGAGAGCTGTTTGGGCCCTATGTGACTGGTTTGTATCCCTTCGCCCAGTCTTGAGTTCCAGCGGAACCACCAGGTTCTTCTCCATTTTATCTTCACGGCAAGTGACTTGTACCGTCGCATCGATATTGCCTTTGAGGCCATACATTGGGGACCATATGTGCTCCTCTACCTCAAGTAGTTTGTTGATACTCAAGTTCAGCTTAGAGTTATTGCGGTCTTCAACCATAGACTTGGCCTATTGATCTTGGTTAGCAAGGTTTCTTGGTCAAAAGAGGCTACCCAGCGGCCGTGAGCCATACCTGTGGCTTGAGATGCAGGAAAGCATCTGCCCAGTCTAGAACAGCAGGCATCCTGCTCATGAGATATTCAACAGCTTCAGGGATACTCATTTGGATCGAGTACAGCTCTTCGATGTGTCTGCCCAGGACGGTTTCGACCAATGTCTTCAATGACTTCATATCCCATTTGTTCGCCTTGAGAGCTTTTTGAAAAACTTCGTGGAAAAACACTCCAAAGGCTTGCGGTCGCTCGAGTGCGCCAATGACTTTGACTCGATCTTGAAGGACAGCTCGTCGCTGGCAGTCTATCGAGTCTGCTACGACCGTAGCTGAAATGAGATGGTCGGGGTGAAGAATGATCATGTGGTTCAAATTATCCACAACGCATTGGCCGGCTGCGTTGAAGTCCCCGACTAGGTGGATATACGAATCCTTGCTGCAGGGAGTGTCAAACCATGACTCTCGCAAGATAATAGACTTGCGGTCTCGGGTTTTCTCGTCTTCAACTAGCAAGCCCTGTACTCAAAGTCAGCGGACGGGACTATATCCGAGGCAAGGGCAATGTATCTGACCTGCTCTGGCTGAGTACGTCCTTTCGGAGTAACATATGTGCTCTTCGTGATCTCAACGATCTGGTAACGTTTGATAGCTTGGCGACCTTTGAGGTTCTATTTGTTTTGACTGTCTTAGCATATATCTAAAAATTAACTGACTAAGAGTGACGAACATGAGCGAGTCCACCTTCACCTGCTTGCTTCATAGTTTGCTCAATGGCCTCCAGATCAAAATCATCATCAAACTCATCATCCGATGATGCCACCTCAGGTTTGACAGGTGTGGCGGTTGGGGGTTTGCTATGCATACTGCCATTCACCGGGGTATTCATTGTATCTGATCTCTGCAAAGATGGTCCAGTGGTCGTTGAATTCAATGGATTGACCGGAACGGGCTTTGTGTCACATTTTGCAAGTATTTCCTGCAAGTTGTCAGGCAGATCATCGTATTCATATTCAAATTCATCGAATTCATCGATATCATCGCGTTTTGTTTCGTTAGTCGTAGTGCTATGGGGTATTGTTATGAGAGGCTTGCTGTTGAGCATTGAATCTTCTGGCTGCCATGAACGAGACTTTTCTGCGTCAAGGGCAGCCCATTCAGAAGACCCCAGAGACACAAACTCGGTAGATGCATGTGCCGGCTCAATGAAAGGATCCTCCGAGGCATTAACCAGGTCCAGAAGACCTTGATCAAGATCATCGTCTCCGAACTCGTCGGACGACTCTTGAAGAATGGGCAGTTTCCCAGGTCTCACTTTCCCAGGTGGTACAGCACATGGGGATTCAGTGGTTTCTTCGTCGGCCTCGTGAAGCCTCCAGTTCTTCGTGGGTGAAGACGATCGGCACCTCCGTGTATCCACATGTTGGCGTAGGGGTGACGATCCAGGTGGACCCGCATCGGCAGTGGCCATGTATATGCTTCTTTCAATTTTCTCCATAAGATAGTTGATCCTGGAGGACTTGGGTCTCCCAGATTCGACATTGCTGGTAGTTCGTTGAAATATGCCACGGCTGACATCTAGTCCATTGACTCGTCGCCGTTTTGTTCGAGAGGTGGGGAAATCGGTGGTGCAGCTAATCGCGCGTCTCAGCCCTGACGAGTCTCGACTTGTTCTGCTCGAACCTGGTGTCTGGGGTGAGGAGGAAAGAAGATTTGCGAACCGTGGCGGCGGAAGATCATCCGGGCCATCGACCATGTTTTTATCCATGTAGTTACTCCACAATTCAGCGGCCATATCATGCTGCGGTGTCTTGAATAGGACTTGTATTGAATTAAGATCAAAGGGTTCTTTTTGCACCTTTTTCTTAGTCCCTTTCGAGGGAGAGCCAGTAGGCGAAGAACTGTGCCGGCGCTTCCTACGACGACCCGCTGGTGTCTGGGATGAGGTGTCTGGGTTCGAGCTGGCAGGCACATGCTGCCAGATGACTTGATCAACTGGCGTCATTTCCGGGACTTCGGCAGGATTAAACGAATCCTCAGCATTGCTGATCAAATCCGCCAGAGGTATCTTGTTTCCCGGAGTCTGAGGGCATTCTTTAATCGGCTTTGATTCTTGTAATTGGGGTTCCGGTGCCTGAGCTTCGGGAGGCGGCGGAGAACATCCTTTATCAGAAGAAGTCTGCATCGGCTCCTTCACACTGTTGGAGCCCGGATCCTCATGTTCTTTGCTCCCATTAACTGATTTCGTCTCGTCTTTCGAGCTGGCGCCGTCGGAAACTACTTCGCCTTCCTGGAAGCGAAAAGCGTTCAACTTTGTTCGTGAATTTGAGGATATGGGGTATGTATTGTTTGTTGCCATTGCTTCGATTCGGAAATATCCAATGACGCGCTTAAAATTGGTAAGGATACATTCCGCGTAGAAGCTGGAGGCTGAACAGGACGGTGTCAGAAATGGGGATATATTGGGGGTCTGAGATGAAACATACCAGTTAAAAGATGGTATTTACCGGTTCAGTTACTTCGAATGTTCTTGAGTCGTGCATATGGAAAGATGAAACGAATGGCGAGTCCAGCGCCCTGCAGCATGGGAGGGCCAGATGTGATAAGAACGCGTCGCGTGTGTAGTGACGACACCTATTTTCCAAGGCAGGAGCGTAGTTCTGCCTGAAATAACAGGTATAAAGGCGGACAAGAAAATTGCCCAAAGTAGACTAGCGCGATAACTGGACAGCTTCCCGGCCTTTTACGGCTTCAACATCAACCCGCCGAAGCCCCCCCTCCACTCTACTGCAAGAGGCAACATATCAATTGAGACCGTCCTTACCACCTGAATTTAGCAAGGATATTCTGTTCCTCGTGACTCTCACCAATTTCCTTGCACGCCAGTGTTTCGGCATCAACCCTCCTTCATCCCATCTTCAAGATGAGTGCCCGACCATTGTCGCACATCCTCCGGGCGCGTTGCCTGCTTCGCCAGTCTCAAAAGACCCAGGCATTCTCAACTCGATCCAGTATCCGTGCCGCGGATCACGGTGATCACTATGATCCTCCCACCGGGTGGCTGTTCGGTGTCAAGCCCGGCCAGAAGTACGTGAAGGAAGGCTGGGAGAACATTTGGTACTACGGATTCATTGGAAGCATTTTGGTCGCTGGTGTCGCATACGTTTTCAAGCCTGATACTTCGTACGTATAATCCGTATCCGACCTAGTGCCTTGATATTGGCGTTTATACTCCTCGCGCAACTGGAATACTGACAATTGTGATAGTATACAAACATGGGCTCTCGAAGAGGCCCGACGGAGACTGGAAGCCGAGGGTATCCTAGAGGACCCTGATAAGGTCAAGGAATAAACGCCAAGTTGTACGCTGTACATAGAGATCAAAGAGGGACTATTTCGATATATGTCTGTACTACCTGCGACGGCAGATATGATGTTCCGGTCTCGTTCTTAGACAGGTTTTTTCTGCATGCTCATCTATTTTCGTTCGTTCCTTGTTGTATCACTTTACACTTTTCGAAGTTTCTTTCCGTCATGTTGCTTATAGGTGCTCCGGTCGCAAAAGAAAAATGCTTATAATTCGCACTAAGCACATTATGAAAATGATTTAAGTTAAACTGTATGGAAGTTGATATCTGGTAGGCTATTTGCAGGATGTACTGGAAAAAGAGGGCCCCTGGCATTTGCCTCCTCGCTGTTCACAATAGGGCTCTCAAATTTCTGGATATAGATCAGTTCTCCGAAGCAACGGCATTTCACGCCGAATCTTCGCCACAAGATCGAGATCAATATCGGCGGTCGCGATTTGTGGTTCCTGGTACTCATCCCCCAGCTTTGCCACCACTTCACCCCACGGGTTGATGATAATAGAATGACCATAGCTTCGTCTCCTCTCATTATGGGGGCCTGCCTGCGCAGCTGCAATCACATATGACTGGGTCTCAATAGCTCTTGCTCGTAGCAAGGGCTCCCAATGAGCCTTTCCCGTCGGAACAGTGAATGCCGATGGATATGTGATGATTTCAGCATTCTGCCGCCTCAATGCCAGGCTGATCTCTGGAAAACGCAACTACATGATCCAGCATGAGTAAAAAGTTGATGTCCGATGTGATTTCAACATCCATTACTTACATCAAAACAAATGCTCAGACCAACACGCCCTACAGGTGTGTCAAATGGCCTAGAGAGTTGTTGTCCAGGCTGGACGCTCCTGATGGAAGGTTAGCGAATGATAAGTCAACTAATGGATCTTAAAAAAGGCTTACGCGCTCTCCTTGAGTACAGGTCCGTCTTTGATATCAACGTCAAAAAGATGGACCTTCTGGTACTTTTGGGAGATGATTCCCTTATCATCGATCCAAATCAATAAATTCTTGAGCCTGGTTTCAGAGGCTACTTCATGAATTCCAACATTGATGTGGATTTTTTGTTCCTCGGCATCTTTCTGTAAGGACGACACAAAGCTAGCCCTCTCTTCAGACTGGGCGAGGGAGTAGGATTGCTCTGCCGAGGATGCGATATAGTCTGATGCCTCTGGAAGAAACAGCACCTAACATATATGAGCTGTCTATCGGAAAGTTGGCTGTGGAATAGTATAATATCACCTTGGCACCTGCTGCAGCAGCCTTTCGAACCAACACCTTGCACTGAGCTAGGTTCGAAGTTATGTTGCTAGTCGAACATAGCTGCCCCACGGCCTAAATCAAAGCAAGTTGTTAGCCAGGTGGCTCACGTCCGATGGATGGTCGGCACATACCGCTAAAACCATAGTGATAAAAGTTCAGGATCTGAAAGAGATCTAGAGTAGAATCCAAAACCAAGTTCTCTATGACAAAATACCTTTCCTGTAGCGATCAAATGGCATCTTTCGACCCCAAAGTGACGAGCCCGTATGCTGACTCAGCTAGTTATCGCGATGATCAGCGATAACCTTTCTTCTCGCCAAGGCTCTCACCTCGGATCTTTCACAAGACACACAGGTTTTGACAGATTCAGCCACTGCTAGACAGTGGAATCTTACCGTCGCAATGAAGAGTTTACGAAGAGACTTGTCTGCCAACCCGCAGGCCGCAAATGTTACCAGCAAGGTCTTCGTTAGGTCCACGAAAAGTGGAAAGGTGCAAAAGATTGTCCGCGAGCTCTATTTGAGAGAAGATATTCCTTGCTCTTCTAAGCTCTGCTCACAATGCCCGACGATTGCGCCGGCTGATGCCAATGGAAACAGTAAGGAAATTATTACGGTGATGGTCAAGCAAGTTGCTAATCGAAACAGTTGCGCCGTTCATCCTATCTGATCGCCCCGCCGGCACAACGGCATTCCCCCGAGGCCACTACATTGTTCCCGATACAAATGCGCTGCTTAATGGAATGGATCTTTTTGAGCACACTGGGGCCTTCTACGATGTGATTGTCCTCCAGACCGTCCTCGAGGAATTGAGAAACCGATCAATACCACTTTACAACCGTCTTCTGGCCCTCGTCAAGTCAGACGAAAAGCGCTTCTACCTCTTTTTCAACGAGTTTCGCCGAGAGACTCATGTTCGCAGAGGCCCGGAGGAAACAATCAACGACAGGAACGATCGCGCCGTGCGCATGGTAGCAACCTGGTACAGTTCTCACCTGCAGCAATCAGCAAAAAAAGGAAAGAAAGAGAAGGCGATACCGGCAATTGTTGTCATAACTGATGACAAGGAGAATCTTCGGAAATGCAAGGAAGAAAATGTGGCGGCCTTGTCGCTATCCGACTATGTCTCCGGCTTAGAGGGATCCGAAATGCTGCTGGATATGATCAGCGAGTCAAAGGATGCGCGAGATGCCAAAGAGACAACTCGCGGGGAGTTTTTCTACCCTGAATACTTCACAATGTCAAAGCTCACGACTGGTCTGCGAGCCGGGACATTGCACCAAGGAGTGTTCAATGTTTCTCCTTACAACTACCTGGAAGCCTCCGTCAAGACCGCGGCTTTCGATAAACCTCTTCTCATTTTGGGCCGTGATAATAGTAACCGCGCTATTGCGGGTGATTCTGTCGTGGTCGAAGTATTACCACAGGACCAGTGGAAGAGCCCCTCGACTAAGATTGTGGATGAGGAAGCCGTGACCCGTAATGATAACCCTGATACTGAGGAGACTGAGGCTGTGGTAACGGACAGAGAACGCAAAGCTCTCCAGGAAGAAGTCAAAAAGGCCCATGGCAAGAATTCGGATGGCAAGCCACAGCCTACTGCCAAGGTTGTTGGTGTCATCAAGCGCAGCTGGCGTCAATACGTTGGTCACGTTGACTCGAATTCTACTGGCTCGCAGGCATCTGGTAGACGGCAACAAAACGTTTTCTTACTACCCATGGACAAGCGTATCCCGAAGATCAGAGTACGCACAAGACAGGCTAGCGATATTCTCGGTCAGCGTATTCTTGTAACCATCGATTCCTGGGACCGCGATTCGAGATATCCTACCGGTCACTTCATTCGGTCTCTGGGAGAGCTCGAAACTAAGGGTGCCGAAACCGAGGCTTTATTGCTTGAATACGACGTGCAGTACAAGCCGTTCCCGAAATCTGTGTTGGACTGCCTTCCATCTGAAGGTCATGATTGGAAGGTTCCTGTCTCGAAGGAAGATAAAGGCTGGACCGGCCGGAAAGATCTTCGAGACTTGCTTATTTGCAGTATCGATCCACCCGGCTGTCAGGATATCGACGACGCACTTCACGCGCGTCTTCTGCCAAATGGAAACTTTGAGGTTGGTGTCCACATTGCAGATGTGTCGCATTTCGTCAAACCCAACAACCCAATGGATCTCGAGGCCAGTATTCGCGGAACCACTGTTTACCTAGTCGATAAGCGTATCGACATGCTCCCGCACCTTCTTGGTACAGATCTGTGCTCTCTCAAGCCCTATGTTGAGCGATATGCGTTCTCGGTTCAGTGGGAGATGACACCTGATGCCGAGATAGTGTCTTCAAATTTCAGCAAGTCGGTCATTCGCTCCCGGGAAGCATTCAGTTACGAACAAGCTCAGTTACGCATTGACGACAAATCACAGCAGGACGAGCTGACCGAAAGCATGCGCACCCTCTTGAAATTCTCCAAGGTTCTCCGTCAGAAGCGTATGGACGCTGGTGCCTTGAACCTCGCTTCCCCGGAAGTCCGCATTGAGAGTGAAGGCGATGAAGTGGGCGATCCTTTGACGGACGTCAAGACCAAGGCTATGCTTGACACTAATAGCTTGGTCGAAGAGTTCATGCTTCTCGCCAATATCACTGTTGCCTCGAAGGTCTATGAGTCCTTTCCTCAGACGGCCTTGCTACGTCGGCACGCCACTCCCCCGCCTCAAAATTTCGAGGACCTTCAAAAACAACTCTCGAAGAAGCGAGACATGGAGCTGGATGTTTCCAGCTCACGAGCTCTGGCTGATTCTTTGGATCGTTGCATCGATCCTAAGAACCCATTCTTCAACACCCTGGTCCGTATCTTGGCGACCCGTTGCATGACCTCTGCCGAATATTTCTGCGCGGGGGCCTTTGGCGAATCCGAATTCCGTCACTACGGTCTCGCCTCGCCCATTTACACCCACTTTACTTCACCCATTCGACGATATGCCGATCTGATGGTTCACCGGCAATTGGCTTCTGCCATTGGGTATGAAGGTGAGGATGGACACGCAGTCATCGAGGGTGTCAGCACCCGCAACAAGCTAGAAGACATCTGCCGGAACATCAACGTCCGTCACCGCAATGCACAGCATGCCGGCCGCGCTAGTATTGAATACTACGTGGGCCAGGCTCTCAAGGCCCGTGGAGAGAAGATGGCCGCCGACGGTGTTGATGCGGGTATTGAAGAAGAAGGATACGTGATGCGTGTGTTCGAGAACGGTGTTGTCATCTTCGTTCCCCGCTTCGGCATTGAAGGTGTCGTTCGTCTGGAGGACTTCGTCCTACCCGGTGAATCTGGAGCTCGTTCTGTCGCAGAGAGACGGGAGCTAGCTCCTCACCGCACTACGGAGTTTGATAGCGAGGAATATACCCTTTGTGTGGAGGAGAAGGGTCACCCGGAGAAGGAACGCAGTGTGACTGTTGAACTTTTCCAAAAGGTTCGTGTCAATGTCAGCTCCGTCAAGGAAGAGGGTCGTGGCGCCGGCAAGAGAAGGGTCCGGATTTTGGTTATGGAGGCATGAAACAAAAGCTACATCCATGTAGATTAGTATTAAAACGGCGTTCAAATCAAATGAATGACAGACGATTGTCTATTTTTGTATGTTCATTTGTGTGACATGTATGTACTCTGCGCTACGCAGTTATTTAAACCTTTTTCAACGTGATCATTCTGCGTACCAAGCTGACCGGGGCCCATAACGGAATGTCTGTTTCAGTGGCCTCCAAGGCCGGGGAAATAGTCGCAGGGCAGTTTTGCTTCTCATTTCCGCCGTTGACTCCAGTCAATGGGCCAGACTGGACGACGGAATCACGGCTTGCCAGAGCACGCTCCAGCTCGCCGACCTTCCAACCGCGGACAACCCACAGACACATGGAAGCACCAATATACATGAATCCAGTAAATATCTGAACGTGGAGATATGAAGTCTCGCCACCAATACCATGGCTGCGGAGCTGAAGGGCGATAGGCTCGGAGACAGTGCAAGGAACAACAAGCGTGAGCCAGGTAATGCTTAAGCCAGAAGGGAGATCTCTGATACCAATAATCTCCGCCAGGACAGGAGAGACAGTAGCCCAATATGTGCCTGCGACAGTGCCAACCAAAACGGCGAAGAAGCATACCACACCCATACTGTCAGCAGAAGTCCAAATAACGAGACAGAACAGACCGCAGAGAAAGGTGAGGAAAGTGGCAATATTAATGCGACCAAGCCTGTCACTGAACATGCCAACAAACGGACGACCGAGACCCTGACCGAGGTTGAGCAGCGCTGAGACAATACTCCCCTGGTGCGACGAGAGACCGACAGAGAGAGCAAAGTTGGCAACGCTGAACAGCAGCGCCACATAGCCGAGCATACTGAACACCCCCCATCCGAGGAAGAGCAAAAACTCCGGGCGACGCAGGAGGGGCAGATGGAAAGCCGTAAATCTACTGCCGACAGCCTTGTTGCGATCCCGGAGCAAGTTACAACAGACCAGGTTCACGACGCACGAAATGATACCCAAAATGCGGAACGCCCAAGCTAGCCCGTAGCGGGGAATAATGGCGCCCACTGCGAGGGAGTACATCAGGCCACCGAGACCAGATCCGGCGGCGTTGATGCCCATCGCTACGCCGCGGTGCTTGTCGAACCATTGCGGGGTGATGCCGACACTGCCCACGAAGAGGAAACCCATTCCCCAGCCGAAACAGACGCCTTGGCTGAGGAAGATATGCCATTTCTGGGTTGCAAATGAGGCCCCTATTAGAGAAAGGGTTTCGAAGAAGATGCCCAGGTTGAGGACAAATCGTACACCCAATTTGTGGATCATATGGGTGGCTACTGGGGCCACCAAAAGGGCACAGGAGATACTCAAGCCGCCTGTGAAGGCGTACGATAGGGCAGATGTGTTGGGGAACACATCGTTTGAGAGGTAATAGCTCAGGAAGACTCCGTAGCTCTGGATATTATCTGTTAGTAAGACGAAGGTGCAAATTTGAAGTTGAAGACTTATGACTCACGCTATTGATACCCCAGGTATGCGCATTGATCCAGAAAACACAGGCGATACAGACCCAGCCATAGCCACCGTCCGGGGCCACATCGTGCTTATATTTTTCATCTTCATCGACT